TTAATGATAGAAAAATATGATAATATTTCAAATTACATTAACACTTTAATGGCCGCACGTGTACGCAGAGTCAAACGTCGTTAAAAGCTCGGTAATCATTTTGAAGAATTAATTAATTGAAAAACAACTTTATTGTCATCTAACGAAAAAATTAACATAAAACAAAAAACAATATATTTAATTTTATATATAAAGTTATAAATAAAATAACGATCAATGTTCTGGCTATCACACACATGTTACGTGAGCGGCCATTAAAGTGTTAATGGAATAACAAAGATAACAATACCTTCTTTTTTCCTTGTGTTTGAATGCTTTCATTTCGTTATACGATTCAAAAAATAATGAATTTATAAATGAATTTAATTAATGACGAAAATGACACATATATGTTGATGAGATCGTAAACTAAATTAGTTATGTTTTTCTCAATGTCATGATATTTACGTAGAGACATTAGATCATAAGTGTACTCTGTTTCATTGTGTAAACTCGTATTCGACGATACATAGATCGATATTGTGAATAAATGTCGGTGGATAGTATATAACGCGGTTAATGATTCTTGGCATAAACATTATACTATTATTTTATACACACACATACACATATACATATACATATAAGGTAAATATATTCTACATATCGCGTGACGTTCGAATGTTTATTAATAAATTGGAAGTAGGAAGGAAGTCTCGTGTCGTGTGATATGTTTTTTTTCGATCGATCGAATAAACTGTTAGCAAGAATAGGTAGGCAGGTATTGCTTAAAATAGAATTTCATTTTTGCAATAAATCATTATAACGTTAAAGAAGTAAGTTTTGATGATATCTTTCTATTTGTTTTTTTTTCTATAATAAATTGAACACACATTTATAACGATACATTATACATATGTTGGGTGATGTATGTGTAGAATGGTGTTCTAAGTAGCACTATATATTCCTACGTTCATTTAAATTGAAGTAACATAATCCTTGACGCGACGTTACGGTTCTCTTAGGAGAACGAAAAGTGCGAATGGGCACGAGTCTAGCGGGGAAAGCTATGGGAACTATGATTTCCGTCGAGAATACTCGATTGCGATATATAGGAAGATTCTTTCGAATGATTTCATTTCAACATTTTTTTTTTTTGATTGTTTATTTCTTTTTTCTTCTTATTTATGAAAATCGAGATAGATAGACTATATA